TATAAATTTATGTAATTGATCAATATGATATAAAATTTTTAAATAAAGAACTTGGAAAAATTTCAAACTACTGTATGCAAACAAGTCGCTTCAAAATATCCCTAGACTTCTCATATATAGAGACCAGTTGTATAACTGGTACCGCGCATGAGCAATTCCATCCGTATCGAAGACACCGAGGTCAACTAATATCTTTTAGGGTATGAATACATTTGAAAATATTATATTATTCTCTCAAAAATATTTCGATAAATACTGCATCGTAAGTTATTATGTAAAAATAAATTTCATTCTTAATTTACAACAATTATCGAAAGATAACTTTCGAGATCAAGTTGAATTTTACTTTCAATTTTAAGCATCCTTAGATTTGATTTATTAACCTTTCTTAAATGAATTGTCATCTTTTCAAGAAAATTAAAACTTAGGAACATTTACTAGAAATCGAGCGATCTCGTGAATACGGGCAATCTTCGTTTAAGATGCATAGTAAGAGAAGAAATACGGGGCGATAATAGGTACACATAGCGAGACTCGTTGTCGGAGAGCGCTGACCGCAGAGATAACGCTTTGACCCGTTACAAGCTTCAAGCACGAAATGAATGCCTTCACTGTCTCGTCCAAGTCGGGCCCAATCCAAATATGTAGCCCTTTTTCTTACCAGCTCGCCCTTTATTAACCGTTACCACTGTTATGCCTAAGTTCCTAACCTAAATTCGACTACTTTTACCTTAAGCCTCTATTTACTTTGAAACGAAATGAGTTCACGAGCTCTTGGGATCTTTTATATCATTTCTCGGAAGATCTATAATTTATTTTAAATGAGATTCGTATCAATTTGAAATTAATCTGAAATGATGAAATAGAATGAATGCTACAATATTTTCTAGACTAGGGGAAATCCAATTGGACTGAATATCTGAATAAAACTGGGACCTATTATTACATCTAAAGTGGTTAGACATATTTCTTGATATGGTTGTAATCAAATGTCGTCGTTATTCAGATAATATATCATCATTATTGCTTCCTTATTACAGACCTACGAGAACCGCAGAACTATAAAACTTATACGATTAAGAAGATTAGAAAATTATTGAAACTATGCTGTTCCACTATCAACCACTAAAGATATATGTATGTTGGATAATGAAAATTATGAAATTGAATTTTGAATTATAATATTTCTCTTTGAAACACCACTGAATATTGTATACAAATATAAACACAAGTTGTTTGTATTTTGTAACATTGAAAAATGCAGTTTTTTTGTGGGGAATTTGAGCATACTTAAAACATACTTTTCCCCTTTCTAATTCTATAGTATTTCATGGATGTTTCATCCAAAAAAAGATTTGTTTGTATTTATAAACTCGATAGATAGTCATTGTAAACTGACATAGTTGCGATAACATGTAAATATTGTTTCAGAATTATCAGTAAACGCGTCCACACAACAATCGGAAGTAATAGCGAGGTTACTGCCTATCAACGGGAACCCCGAGATCACAGGATGCAAAGATCGACCTCATATTTGTGGAAAAGAAGCGGCATGTCGTAGCTTTAAAGACAACACATCCAAATGCGTCTGTCCACACGATCTATCCCCACCAACAACGGATTTGAAATGTCCAAACCGTCTAATAGGTTAGAATCACATATCGATTCGATATTTTTTTTTATGTCGAACGCCAGAAATAAAACTAGGGTGATCTAGGGATCACTAGATTTTGAACTACATATTTTTTCGTTTCATAATGTTTTAATACATATTATTATTTATTATTTTACAAATTAAATTTAGATATTATATATCTTCCTATAAAATAATCTTATAGAATAAGAGTCAATAATATTTTTACTAAATTATGTTTTTGAAAAAATTACTATATTAAAAATTATTAGCTTTCTTTTTTATCCGATGTTATTTTATATCAATTAATAATATACATATAAACTTAAAGGCATTAAAACATTGAACTTAATTAATTCATATCAAAATTAATGTGAAATAAATTTTAATTTTAATTAAAGATAGTAGATAAATAATATTGATAATTAAAATTGATAATTAAATATTGATAAATTTGTCTTATTATTAATCTTAAAAGAAAAGAAACAATCTTTTTATAAATATTCTTAAATATTACTTCTTTTTTAGTTCCCTTAACACCTCGACCTATACCTAACATAATTCCTCCAAATGGTAACTCTACCAACAGCACGACTGCTCTTCCAGAGGCAGAACAGGTAATTATTATCAATTGTTCTTATAAATATCATTTATCGATTTATAAATATGCATAGAATCATTTACAAATATAGTTTTGTAGTATTTTCATACTGTTCAACAGGCAGAGCGTGTGAGACAAAAAGTACCTGAAATAATAGGAATCACCATAGCATTCGTCGCGGTATTAGCAATATTGTTGAGTATAGTCTACTGCGTGAAGAAAAGAAGTTATAACGTGAAATCACAGAGGAATTCCCTAGATGTATGTCAATCAAATACATAATATTGAAGTGTTTTTTCAAAACTAACATAACATTAAAAAAAAGAAAAAAAAAGAAAAATTTATGTTATTTACAAATCAATTACAAGACAACGTTAGATAAACGGAATAATAACTTCAGTCGATTAATGTAATATTATATTTTTGAATACAATAAATACAATGGTAATTAAATACAATAACATTTTTGAGTATATTAATACATTTCCTGGAAAGTCATATTTTTTTTTCCAGTGCGAAAGTAAATTGAATTTTAATATTAATTAATCTATATTTTATTGATAGATGATAATAATTTTTTAACATTTATTTTCTTCTTTTCTTATATTTAGAATATTTCAAATATTTTTGAATTTAAATATATATTAAAAAATTTTTAATAATATATAAAAATATAAAAGGAACATCTATTAATTAATATAATATAATTTTGTTTTATTAAATATAATCTTGAATAACATATAAACGAAATTTAATTCATTAAAATTAAATATTATAATTAATTAAAACTTATATTTTTATTATTTTTATTAAGAAACACTCTAGAAATAGGCAAAAAAATTTATATTTTATTTTTTTATTACAATTTCCTCTGTATAGTTGTATTTATTGTGAACATCACATCAAAATAATTATATGTATAATTCATACATATATATATATATATATAACTTTGAATTAAAAATCTAATAAAATATATAATTTTATTTCATCTTTCAAATCTCTATCTATTGTATAAAACTATGTTAATTTTAACTTTTTTCTTATTAAATTTACATGTCAATAATAAAAAATAATTAGATGATTGAAAAATTGTTATGAAAATAGCTTGCATATGTTCACTTCAGGGAACACCGATGAATCTGAAAAAGGGATTGCTGCTAGCGAATAAGTACACACCTAACCCACAGTATTTCAGTTGCGCCTCGCCGGAAGTATCGATTCTGCAACGTGAGTCTCTTGCATTTTTGCAAGAAATCGGCGAGGGGTGTTTTGGAAAAGTATATAAAGGTATAAACCAAATTAAATAATTAAAAATTAATAGTTTTTATATTTATATAAGTCATTAAATAATATCCTTTTAGAAGCTTATTTATTTAAAAAAATTTATTTAAAATCAAGTTATTATAATTCATAAAAAATTAAACTAATAAAAACAATAAAAAAAGTAAACAATTTAATTAATAGTAAACAACTTAATTATTAATATTATATTCTTCTTATCCAATATTGAATGACCATTTATTCTGTTTAAATTTTTCAAATGATAAAATTTTTAAACAAAAACAAAGACCATACAAATTAATATTAGATCGATAATTTTTAATTAAAAAGGCAAATCAAATTTAAATGATTGCTCAAAAAATATGGAAAAATATTATTTAATTAAAAGTAAGCTTGCAGAATAAAATTACTTGTGAAATAAACCAGTGTAATAAAAGGATGTAATTGAAAGAAATAACTCTTTCTTTTTTGCAGGAGAATTATGTATCGGGGATTCGAAAGAAATCGTCGCTATAAAAGTTTTGAAAGAGACTGCACCGCGAGAAGCCGAAGAAGATTTTATGCGAGAGGTCGACATCATGTCCACTTTTGGGCATAGAAATATTTTGTCATTGAAAGGTGCAGTACTTCGTGAAGGTAATAGTAGTCCGTGGATGGTTTTCGAATACATGCCGTACGGAGATCTTGCTGAAGTTTTACGATCGAACTCTCGACAATTTAATAGATCGCCGAAACCTGAGATGCAACCTTTAACAGAGGTAAAAATTATTTAGTTAAATCTTCTATTTTCTAAATTGTATTTCAAAGTATTTCAAACTTTTAAACTAAGAAACTTTTTATTATTGAAAATATTCAAATAACTGAAAAATAATTTGTCATTTTTAAAAGGAATGCATTTGGAAATAAAATCTTTGAAATTCGCATTTTCAATTATTTCTCATTGATAAGCACTACTAATATCACTTTCAACCATTTACAGAAATATTCTGGAGAAGAATTTGCGAGAATTTTATTCTGAAATAGATTTTTTTTTGCTTTAAAATATTTGAGAATTGCTTTTAAGAATATTTTTTCAATAAAAGAATGACTTTCATTCTGAAAAGAAAATTTTTTAAAAAGATTATGAACGATTGATTGTTATTACAATCTTAATTAATATGTTTCAGGAGTCTTTACATTGGATAACAATCCAAATTGCAGCTGGTATGACATACTTATCGGGTCAAAGATTCGTCCATAGAGATTTGGCATGCAGAAATTGTCTAGTTGGTTATGATTTCATTGTTAAAATAGCAGATTTTGGAATGTCAAGAGATGTCTATACTTGCGATTACTATAAGGTAATGGATTAATTTATAATAACATATATTATAATAAATTAAAATATTTTAACAGAATATTCAATGTATCTGAATTATTATTATTTATTATATATTGCAAAATTGTTCATGATTTAAATTATAATTTCATCATAATTTGTCCTCACAAATATTTTTATATAGAATAAATAAAACAAGATCTTTATTCTTCTTCAGATAAAAGGTTCTAGACTTTTACCAATCCGTTGGATGTCACCGGAAAGCGTAATGTACGGACGATTCACATTGGAAAGTGACGTATGGAGTTTCGGCGTTGTTCTATGGGAAGTCTATTCCTTTGGGAAACAACCATATTACGGACATAATAATGAAGAAGTAAGTAAAATTATACACAATCAATTATACAGAGAAATTTGTTATTTTAAAGTGATTAAAATTACACACTTTTATCATTATATTTGCATCTAAAATGAGTATTAACATTGCCATGATACACTGTATTACCATATAGTATATATCCATACAATATATTGTTAGAATGATAAAAATTATTCCAATTATTATTCTAAGATTAATAATATAATTTACAGTAAAAAAATCTAGATTTATAATAACATATGTAATTAGTTCATGATAAATATCATCATGCCCCGCTTTTATGTTACTTTACTACTTATTTAAAATCAATTATTGCACACATAAGCTTCACACAAGAAATAGAAACTTCTTTATAGTTATCGTTTTTCTTTCTGTATGTTGCAATAATCTTATTTCGTATTGAAATGAAAAGATAAACGCTTTATTAAATTATCGTGATACCTTCAGGTAGTGAAGCTAATTTTTCAAGGCATAATGCTTATACCTCCGGAAGGATGTCCACCATTTGTCTGCCAAATAATGCGAGAATGTTGGAAAACTGATCCTAAGGATAGAATTAAATTTGCGGAGATATTAGAAAGATTGGAGAAGGTTAAAGTTAAGTCAATTCAAGATACGTTACCAAGACCACCTCAAGGTCCGGTCACCATTCGTACACCAGACGTATTAGACCCTGATGGCTATTTATTACCAGCACCGGCAAAACCCCACGAATACTTGCAAACTTTACCATCTTTGACCGATTGATATTCAAAATCATATATCATATATCAAAATATATGTTAACAAAGGTTCAATTCATGAAATAATTAAAATTTCTAAATAAAAAATAAAAAAAATAGGATCAAATAAATCGATAAAATTCGTTGCAATTTTCGTAATTATTCGTATTTTCATAATTAAAGATGGATATATTTTTTTCTAAAGTAAAAAAAAAAATTAAAAAATTGAAAAATATAAAATATAATTTTTTTTTTAATTTAATATAATATTAATAAATCCACAAATAAGGAATGAAGGAATGTAATGATAAAATATTGCAACGATATGAAACGATATATTGCAAAAATTTGGAAATTTTCAAAAAGATAATCTCTTATGTTATTTTTATATACATACGTGTAAATATTGTTACATTTTGTCTTTTTTGATCTTTGTCTTTTATAGCGTCCGGATTAAAAGACTGATATGAATTGATTTTGATAATGTTTCTTTATAAATATTTTGACATAAGAAATTTACAGATAGCCTTGTTTTAATTAATTTAAATTAATTTCGTATCGTTACTGTTACTGATATTAAATATTAAATTAATATTAAAAAAGAAAACATACAATGAGATTCAAACATTTATAAAAAAAAAAATAAATGTGAATTAAAAAAGAATAATAAATTATAAATTGTTCATTGTAATCAAAATTGTAAATTTTATACATATAGATATATATATATATATATATTCATTTTGATAAAAATTGTTACGGATGAAAATGATAGGAACACGAAGAAATATTTGATATTATGAAATATTTTATATCTTTTATGAAAAATTAATATTTTTTTTTTTTTACATGTAAAAATTGTAACGAATCTTAAGAACTTTTGAAATGAAAAGAAATATATATTTGTTTGATTAATGATTAATAAATAATATAATAATATAATTAATATAATTCAATTGTTTAATAATCGATTATTATTTCAATCAATTATACAATAGATAATAAATAATAATTGATTGTAATTAATTTTTTTTTCAATAATTTTTATCCGTTAACAATATTTAATAAAATGAATAATATATCAATATTGTCAATAGATATAATTATGGGAGTAAACTTTAATCGGTTATAATTATTGATTAATTTGTAAAAATGTAATCAATAGATATGTCAATACAATTATTGTAATCGATTATTGAAATACCAATGATATCAGGGAAATCATGAAAGTTTGATGTATCGAACTTTCATTGTCCAGGAAATAGTATTAATATTTCATAATATTAAGAAAATGTGAAATAATACTTTTAATAATTTATTATTAATTATGATAATTATGATAATTATTCATACATTCGTATACTATAGTATGATTTCTTTTATCACTTTCAAAATAATAGTTTGATAGTTTTGCGTTGCGAACAGTTTTGTATTATAAAATATTGGAATTGTATAAATTGATGCGTAAGAGACATTTTAAATACATTATTTTTTAGTGTACGAATCATTGTATTAAATCATAATGTTTTTATTAAATCTCATAATATGCATTTCTTAAATTTTATGTTCTATTTTATTTATTATACGAAACAGAAAAGATAAGTAATGAAGTTTATAGAGAAAAAAATAAAAACTTCAGTATTAAAATATTTAATCTTATAATTTAATATGTAACTGGTATGCGTTGCTTTTTAACAATTGTAAGTCATAACATACATTTCAAATATTAAAATTTTTTTTATGTCCAAACTCAATATTATAAAGAAATATGTAAAAAATGATGGGAATATCGTAGATCAATTATATTATACATATATAAATATATATAATATATATAACATTATACATATATAAAATACACATAAGATTCAATACAACAGCTTCCATATCCAAAACGTAATAAACATTTTAAGCTCGCGCCAAAAGGTTAAAATAATTCGATATTCTATCAATTCCGAAAGAAGAAATATTGTTGCCGTGATACGATAGTTTTTTGTTTGCAAAAGATACGCGATTAGATTCGAGAAAACAAGACTCTTATATTTAGTTTTGTTCTGTGTTCTATCAATATAACTAGAAACGCAACTTCGAAATCGATCATGTACGACGATTGCATATTTCTTTCGTTGCGATTCCCGCAAAAACTGTGGCGTATAGTGAATGAATGTAAGAGTGGCGCGATACGTTGGAGTTTAAATGGCAACACAATTCTTCTCGACTACAAGAAATTTCAAGAACAGTATCTCGACGCGGGCAATTCTATCTTCAAAACGAAAAATATTACAAGTTTTATCAGACAATTAAATCTTTATGGTTTCCGGAAAGTAACATCTCATAATAGAGATCCGATTTGTAATTCTCATAATCCGGACGTTCACGAATTCTTGCACGAAAACTTCCGTACCGGCAGACCAGATCTGTTACCAAGGGTGTATAGGAAAACAGCGGGAAAATTGAAACACTGTCAACGACTTAAAGTGAAAAATAGCGCGGAATTGAATTTTTTAAGCAAGGACTCCGATCACGTATCGCGTTTGCATATGTGCCGGGTAAATAAATTAAATGTACTTAATTTCTCTTCATATATTATACATTGTATTACAAAAAATTTTCATATAATATATTAATTACATTTCTTAAAAATACGAATTATATAAAATTATTATACGAAATCGTATTATATGAGATTATAGATTACTATAAGAACAAGAAACTAAGTTTAAAAAACATAATATTTACTAAATTAATTTTATTTTAATAAACATATTTGTTAGAGTTATTATATATATTTATATATTAAATTTATTATGTTCACATTAAAAGATATATGTATACTATTATCAAACAAAATTTAATTATTAATAACCTAACAAATTGCATCTAATAAAAATATATATCTTAGACATTCAATTTAAAAAAAATTATTATTAATATAATAATTTTCAATAATTTTTCATTTATGCTATTTGGATTACATAAATTCTATGTTTTAATATATAGAATTAATGAAATCATTATTATAAAAAAAATATATATATAAACTTTAAAATATTAAATAACAAAAAAAATTAATTTAAATATCGATATTATAAATAATCAATTTTATGTATTAATTATATTAATGATATTTAAAAAATTTGAAAGCATAGAAGATTAAATGATTTTTAAAAATATTATTTGTAATATTTTTAAATATGTATATTGTATTGAGTATAAAATATTACAAATATTATAATTCAAAATCAACTTATTTTTATAATCGATATTATTTTAATTAAAAAAATTTATAACTAAAATTGTTTTAATTTATATTTTAATTTTTCTATTATTGTTTCTAGTTGGCGTTAACGAAAGCTTTAGAACAAATATCGCGAGAATATCAACAAACACAAAATCATAGAATAAAAGATGAAAATACTTTAAATTCTTCAGAAAAAGGTAGTATAATTTAATATTTAATATCAATTATTTTTAATATTATAAAAATCATATTAGTTAATAAAATAAAAACAATTAAATTTTTTTAGAATTCTAATATTAAAATAAAAATAATAAAAATTATAGAATTTCATTTCTTTATATGCTCCATTATTTTTATATAAATATTATATTAAAAATTAATTTTAAATGTAATAATTTCAGTATTTAATCTTGATTTATATGCATCACAAAATCATGAACCATCTACCATAGACTGGATTACAAAAAATTCGATTCCAATTTCTTCAAAAAAGGAAAACTTAAATGATACACAACTAACTTCTAATGTTTATATAAAGTGGACAAATTTTTCTAAAAATATTAATTAAATTACCTGTAAAACTATATTTATATATTATTTGAACTTTCAGTATTATTGCAAATGTTTTAAAACAGTTATCATAATATCTATTTAAAAAAAATGATTATGTAAAATAGCAATTTCTATCTTCTATAAATGTAAAATATAAAAGAGTTCAAAATATGTATTTATATTAAATGTACAATTTGTTTATCAATAATAAAATTATTTTTTAATATATATAATTAATAAATATAATAAATAATATTATGTATTATTACTTGTGGATTGATTAACTACATGTTTATTTTGTTGTATTTTGTGTCTGTTTAAAAAATTTTTGAAGGATTCAGCTTCTTTTCTTTCTTCTTCATCATTTTCTTCATCTTTAAATAAATTTTCTGTACCTTCTTCATCTTCACTTGATTCATTACCAGCATGTTTTAAATATATATCTGAAATTTCTCTTCCACTATTGATTGTTGCTATTAATGGTATATTTTCTCCTGAAACTTCTTGACTTGCTTTTTCAAGTTGTTCTTTCTCTGTTTTTTGTCGTTGTGCGTCTCGTTTAATCTTCATTTTTTCCCAAATTTTTTTATATTCTCTTCAATAGAAAATTCGTTTTTTATATTTCATGCTATTTTCATGCTATACAAATATTTATTATTATTCATATATCTAATTTACCTTTCATATTCTTCCTCAGCATCTTTAATAAGTTCAAGAAACTTAGTAATACCAGCTCCTGTTGCAGCAGAAACTCCACAGCTACGTAAGTGACTATAGAATTCATCAAGTGCAAGAGCCATACTACGTGTTAAGTTACTAATATAACTTGTTTCTGAATCCAGAGCTTCTTGGAATGCTTCAAAATCCTGCATCCAGTCTACTGCATAACTATGTTCAACTATATCAATCTTGAAATTTATAATTATAATTATATTGTTAGATTAATTGCTAGATTATATGTTTTAATAAAATTATATGTTTCTTATTCAAAAAAAAAAAAAATCCTTATAAAAATATATATTATTATACATCATATATGATATTATTTTTAAAAAAATGTTATTTATAATGTTATAATAATTACCTTATTCATAGCCACAATAAATGGTAATTTAGTTTTATAAAGTATAGAACATGCATAAAGCATGTTAGACATGAATGTTACAGGATTAACACTTCTTACAGTATCTAATATATATACTACAATTGTTGGAAATTGAGATGCCAAAGCTTCTGTT